AATATAGTTTGTTATTTTCAGTCGGATATTCTGTTTATTTTGTACATCAGCAGACGGCAGGTTTCCGGAAGTGGATATAAGAAATCTTTATGTTCTATTTTTAATGAATGGCCGAGTTCAAAACTGCATCTATTTTGCAATTGATATATTTTATTAATAGCACTGCTGACTGAATGGATCTAACTCTATTTCAAATTAACAAAAAATGAAAAACATTAATTAATAGTTATTAAAATTAATCTAATTTATTTTAATTGATTTGTTTCATTTTATGTGCTTACTGCCGAAAAATTGACATTTTTTATATGGGGTTAGCATTAATGGTTGCAAATGCAGGATTGTAATTATTATTTTTTTTTTGTTACTTTCTTGAAAACTTCTGCGGACCGGCGGATGGCCCACGGACCGGCACTGGTCCGCGGACCACCAATTTGAGTAGCACTGTGTCAAGGTTATGAGATTCACTGTTGTTATGTGTAGAGCATTGTTGTCATGTTTGATAGGGAAAAGATGTTTAGTTAGAGATTTTACGTGTAGCTGTATCGTTTGTGTGAGAGTGTTGTGACGTAATTGTGTAATGGGAAATGACGCGTTAGTTTTCGTTGTTGTCGATGGAAGATTGATGTCAAATATAATATTTTGACTGTTGGACTTGTGTTGCTGTGTGTTAGGCTGAACCAACTAGATGAGAAATCTGTAATTATATCACAATCCTGGTTAAGGAATTGTTCTTAAATAAATTCATATATTGCAACAAACCGTGAAGTGTTTGATGAAATAGAAACTGTTGCTATTGGTTAAACTGTTTGTGGGATCAAGTGAGAGACTTGGCCAGATAAGTAGACACTCATTGCCATGAGTGGATAATTGTAACTCAATAGATTCAACGTCTCGACATTGGGGGCTCGTCTGAACGAATCAGGGGCTGTTAAGTATCATCCTCGTCCGATCATAGATTCATCCTGTCTGAAGCTGGGAAGTATTATCGTCCAAGCTAGTAAAAAGCTGTGAAGTGTCGGGCCCTTCCGAACAAAGTCGTGAAGTAACATCCCTATCCGGGGCTGTGCAGTATCAACCTGTACGGGGCTGTGAAGTCCGCTGTGGGAGGCGCTCGTCGGAGGCTGTGTGTTTCCCGTCCGACAGAAACTCCTCTGAAGCTGTGAAATATCATTCCCGTCCGAAGCTGTGAAACATCGCCCCATCCTCTGTGTGAAGTATCGTTGCACATCTGTACGAGGCTGTGTGTCGCTTGTCCGAAGTTGTCTTAGGTGCTCGTCGGAGGCTGTGTGTCTCCTCTCCCAGCTGAGGCAACCGTCCAATGCTGTGACCCACTGGTTGGTGTGTTCCACTGAGCTTTACAACGCTGTTGCAGTACACCGCTGCTGACGTATCCTGCCGCTGTGTTTCGCTGATTACTCTATTCCGCTGGTTGCTGTACACCGCTATTTGCTGTGTTCCCCTGTCCTTGGCACGAAGCAAATCACATACGACCAGATCGTCACTGTGCCGCTACTAGACCATCGCCACACCACCGACCAGATCGTCACTGTGCCGCTACCAGATCATCACAGCACCACCGAACAGATCGTCACTGTGCCGCTACCAGATCATCACAGCACCACCGAACAGATCGTCACTGTGCCGCTACCAGATCATCACAGCACCACCGAACAGATCGTCACTGTACCTCTACCAGACCATCGCCGCACCTACAACCGGATCGTCTCTGCATCTACGACCCAACCATCACAGGGCCTGCTGCAGGGTCAAGAAAGTGAGCCCAAATCGGACGCTACTCCAGAACACATTATTACTTAAAAACTGTGACATTCTTCTAATTTTGTGTGGCCAAGTCAAGTAAAGTTAGGTAAAATATTTAGATACTCAATTGTTATTATTGTTATAAGGTATTACTATATTAATTATCTAATATATAGTTAAACGCTGTGCATTTTTAGAACTTATATTTTGTAATATTTTGTAGGGGTGAATAATTATAAACGGAAACAAGAAGCAAAGCTAAGAGAATCATATCGGAAATAATAGCCGAAATTCGGAACAGGAGTTAGATACTTTTGTAAGGGAACAATGGGGACGAATACAAGAAGAGGAGCGAGGAAAAAAAAGAGATGTATAGAAGAAAGGGAACATGAGCTTAAGAAATTCAAAAAGTGAATTAGACAAAATAAAAAAGGGAGTTACACTACGTAATTGTGACGAAAAAAGACACAACAAAAACGATCACTTATGCCTCCCTAAATACAACAGCGACACGGAACTGGACGACCACATTGTAAACTTTGAATACATTGCCAGTCAAAAACGGGGAAACAAAACAAAAATTAGGAGTCAAGAATTTTATGACAGTGACAATGACGATGGTGAGGGAGTAGAATGGGATAGCGCTAGAATAGACGGGATAATTAGTATTGACTGTGATAATCCTTACACTAGAGGGATTAGTTATATCGAGTGGTCAGGGAAGGAAACACAAGATAGCTTTTACAGAGCAGAGGTAGAAACTAAGAAGAATCAGTTCAGATGGGATAATAAGCTTAAAACTTGGAAAATTTTACAGACGGGGATAAGGTAGAAACTGAGGAAGGCGTTAGGGAAACTGGGAGGCCATTAGGTGAGGTTGAAGAGAGTAAAGTCCATTAATTAGCTTATGAAAACGAATTGATTGAAAATATTACTGACTTTGTGGAAGAGGATAGCTATCCAGAGGAATCTCAAGCCATTGTAACGGAGTGTAGGGACACGGAATTCTCTGTAGCAACTAGTGAGGTGGTAACCATAATAGAAAACAGAGGGGAAGCATGGGATACAGATTTTTTACATGTTCAACATGTGAATTTTGATTTTGTACGGAATATGATTTTTGATGACATATCACATGATGCTTATAATAGAGTCCATGTAGATTTTGTTGATGAAAATATAATGTGTGATTCTGGACAATATACTTTTTTTTGATGGAGTACAAGATGATGCTTGTGATACTATACGGGCTTTTGATTTTGATAATACACAACATGAGAGCTGTGATATGACACACGAGAGATGCTTTTAAAATGTAACACAGGGTTATTTTGCTTTCGTACAACAGAGAGATTTTGGGTTTATGCGGCAGAACTTTGTGGCAAAGGATGATTTGTGTTTTGAATAAGATTGTGTACGTTTTAGGACCTGGGCAGGTCACGGTGTTTGCTAAGTGGAAATCGGGAGCTGATCAGAGGCAGTCCCAAGACGGGGACGTAAATACAATCAAGTAGAAGTCGTTGAAAATCATTTCATGTGGAGCTATGAGGATAGCAGTCCGATTGTTGAAGTTTGTAGAATTAAAGACACGAACTGCTCAAATTTTGAGAACCGTTATAGGGTTGAGTCTATTTTAGACTCAGAAAATCTGATTGTAGCTAGCGGGTTTGACCGTGGCTACATAGTTTCTCTGGGGGAGGTGAACTTCTTCCCTGGTGTGGGGTTTGATGACGGGAACTTTGCTGTTGTTGATGACCTGTGTCGTGAGACTCAGGAGGGCTCAATGGTTGAGAGCGGACATTGCTCGGACAGTGGGTTGAATGAGGATTTTGATTGTGTTGAGGAGGTGAGGGGTTTCCTTGAGCCGGGAGGTGAGGATTGCGAGTTTTGTATTGCTGGTTTGTGTGGACACTGTGGTGTGCCCATGGTTCATGCATAGGTGTTGGGCGTGACATGCGTTTTGCTTTTGTGGGTTGACTTGGTGTCATGTGTGGTGAGACACGTAATGGTTGGCTGGAGAGAATTGAATTGTAATGCAGGTTTGCACACTTTCTGCAGGGCGTCGGACAAGCGAGGTATTCCTCCCTGGGGGTCCAGTAGTAGACTGGATAATTTATGGCTGTCCACATGAATTTACGGATATTGACTTTTTTTGTTGTTGTTGTTTTTTGCCACATATAAATGTTTAATTAATGAGTAAGTGTTGTTTAAGTCAGATGTTAATTATGATCAGTAATTGTCTGGATACGATACGAATAACCCATCATTTGTTTCGTTGTATATATGAGTAAAATCCATGTAATTAGAAGTATAAACCGATGTTACAAATGGTAAATTGCTTCGCTATTTTATTTATCATTGCTGTGAAATGTTATTGCAATAACAATGCTCTGATGACTTAATACATTATGCAATTTGTATGTAATTATATTAATGATTGTAAACAGTATTATACTAATAATGATTGCCTGTTTGAGGTTGTTTCTTGTTGTATGGCCCAACAGTGATTCCATACCTTGACTTTTTTTTGGAAGATTCTACTCGGGGGAGTAGAATCTAGCGGAAGAGGGGGGATATGTCAAGGGTATGAGAATCACTGTTGTTATGTGTAGAGCATTGTTGTCATGTTTGATAGGGAAAAGATGTTTAGTTAGAGATTTTACGTGTAGCTGTATCGTTTGTGTGAGAGTGTTGTGACGTAATTGTGTAATGGGAAATGACGCGTTCGTTTTCGTTGTTGTCGATGGAAGATTGATGGCGGATATAATATTTTGACTGTTGGCTGTTGGACTTGTGTTGCTGTGTGTTAGGCTGAACCGATTGGATTAGAAATCTGTAATTATATCACAACCCTAGTTAAGGAATTGTTCTTAAATAAATTCATATATTGCAACAAACCGTGAAGTGTTTTGTTGAATTAGAAACTGTTGCTATTGGTTATACTACTGTTCGTGGGATCAAGTGAGAGACTTGGCCAGATTAGACACTCATTGCCATGAGTGGATAATTGCAACTCAATAGATTCAACGTCTCGACACACTGCTCTATGGTATCGTCCCTTTGTTAGGCACTATTTACGACGAGCCAATAACTTAAGGTAAGAGATTAATTTCCCACAATAGAAGCCAGTGCGTAACAGTAACACATGCTTTTATCTTCAAGAGCCAATTTGTAGACGTGTACATATATAGAGAATAATATTAAATAACTTAATTGTAAAAGAAAACTATTCAGAGACCTTTGTACTAAGTGTAATTTTATTTTGTCGTTTAATGCACCACAGGCATAAAATTATGCAACCTAAACTTATTTCTATAATTATAATGGACATTTTTCTAATTTTTTATATGAAAACATTGTTTACTTTAGTTTTAAGAATAATCAGTGGCAACACAGGGGGGTGCAGGCTACAGCGGGTGACACCCTCACTATGGGATGACACCCAGGGTTGCCATCTCAAAAAAAAAATTAGTGATGCCACTAATGGCAACCCTGGTGACATCAAATTTGACAAACCTCACTTAATTTAGTCAGTTTCATAACATATCTAAGTTAAATACAAGACAGGGATTCCACCTGAAATGAGTGCCACCAGAACCTAGTGTTTCCAGAACAGGTTTCCACAAAGGCAGGTTACCATCAGGGCGTCCAGAGTGTTTTCCATGAGTTTAGTTACGTAGCTTAAGTGGGTCATGATTTAGCCCCATTCACTTCAGCAAAAGTTAAATTAACAGCAATTGTCTCTGTTTTGTTTATAATGACAACTGTCATCGGTTTATATGATCAGACTTTTGTCCAGGGCTCAAGGGTCTCCAACTCAAGCAACAAACCCTATTTGAAGTTTTATTGATAACTGAATTTGACTTCCAAGACTCTCTCCCAATCCAAATGTTATAATTTTAAAATGTTGTCTTAATAACTTGAAAAATGCTAGCTATGATGAAGCGATTGACAAGTTTGCATCTTTGAAGACCAGGAAAATAAAGTTTAAATCGTAAAAATCAATGTGTCAATAAAAAGTCATTTTGATGCATTTTTTTTTCATTCTGTTAACTTCAAATTCTAATTTTCTACTTAAGTCTTTTTTGCTTTAGGAATTTATTTACAAACAAAATAATATATGGCCTGGCTAAGACTTACATGATGCAGGTCCTAAAGAGAGAGGAGGGTGATCTGAAATGGGGCTGACACCAATAGTTTACCAACCCTAGTGACGCCTCTGGCAATAACATACAAATTATTACAAAGATGTAATACAAATGTTGGCCTTTAGTTATAATTTTAAAATTTATTAAAAGATACAATTTTAAAAACAATTCATATAGCATAACTTATTTATTTATTTAAAAACCAAAAGACAGCCTGGTGCCAATCGCCCTTCTTTATGTTGGTATTTTTTATAAAACTGGCATTAAATAAATAAATTTGAATATTTTTTAATACTTTTGTTGAAAATACCTTTGTAACTTTTATTCATTGTTGCTCATTCTTTTTCAAATCAATTAAGGGTTGTTTATTGTAAACCTTTGGCAAAATTATTTAAAATGCAAACGAAGTTTAATAAAAAAAAACTAAATTGACTAAGACTTTGACTAGGATGGATCTGAAGACTGTATGACTTTTCTAATCCTTTCAGCATCTTTAGCAATAGCAACATTCTGATCAATGGCCAGGGCTGCATCATAGTCTCTCAAACCTAATAAAGAAATGATTGCAAGAAAAATTAACCATGACGGAAGTGGTTGGCTTTTGATTGCTTGACGTTCATGGCTCTGAAATGATCAGTTTTTCTTTGTCTTTAATTAAGTAATTAAGTAATATTAAATGGCAGATCACAAAGTCAGATACATATATCAGATCATAAGGCATATGGCTTTTGCTATTTGATAGATACAAATTTTAAAAATCCAAGGCAGATCACAAGTGCCACATGCTAGATCACAATTAGTACATAAGCCATATGGAAAATAACATGATTATTTGAAGGTTTAAATTAAAAATAAATTAACAAATGTTGAAACATATTTTTAAAGAACATTCAGACATTAATCAAAACTATTACTTTTAAAGAATGTTCAAATTAAAATGTATAATTTTTAAAGCTATTTCTTTTATTCTTTCACCATAAAGTATTTGCAGAATACAGAATATAATGGCCAATAAAGAATTAAATTTCACTGAAACTTCATCAGGAGGTTCAGGGTAATTTGATAAGATGAACCCTAAAATTCATTAATGATAATACAAGTGCTTCAGGACTCGAGTAAATTATAATAACTTGTCCAGCAAAATTAATAGATAAAATCTACTTAGGTTGAAAAAATAAAACGAATAGCATTTAAAAAAATCAAGATTGGTATAATCTTCTTCTTCTATGGTCTAAAATTATGATGCTATAAATTATTTTTTACAATTTGTGCTGCAAATGAAGATTTAAAATAAAGCGTCTACTATTTTTATTTTTGTGACTTTTGTGTGCATAACACTAAAATACCAACCATTCATTTTTTAATATAAGGTCATTAAGATTAAAAACCCACCTTCAACATACATCTCTAATAAACAGAATGCAGTTCCACGTCGAATTAAAGCCTTGCATCGACTTCCTGCATTTTGTGTAACTGGTGGGAACAGAAGGTCCAGAGCCTAAAACAATATCAATATTAAGCCAAGATAACAAGAAAATTGAAAGTTTTCATAAGTTAAATCAGTCTAGTCACTAGTCCAACAATAATTATTAAACAAAAATGAATGTGTCTCTGAAACAATCTTTTCATGATGATCCTGTTTAAAAAGAGTTCTATAAATAATATCATTAAAATATTTTAAAACTTTTATACCGGTATCAGAATCTTTTTCATTTCATGTTTGGTGTTTTACTTTTAAACAGCGTTTAATATTTCCAATTATAATAATCATAAGTATTTCACTTTATTTAATTAAAAATAAATTATCTTTATAAAATAACTTTGGTGGCCTGTAGATTAATCTTGAAATTTACACACTTTAATTAAGTAAAATAGTCATTTTTAATATAAGGCTAAATAATTAGCAACTGATCTAATATAAAGGTAATTGAAAAAATGAGTTAGTTCATACTTTAGAGCAGTCTTCTATACACTTGAACAAGTTTTTAAGTTTAAGATGACAAGCTGCTCGGTTGGAGTAAAGTCTAGTTGTTTATAAAGGAAAATCTCAACAAAGTATTTCAGATAGTCAATTGAAATCTTTGGCAACATGGATAACAAGAATGGATATTGTTTACTTTATTTATATATAATAATTAAGCTAAAATATGAGACAGAAATGCAAAACACATTCAATATATTTGCATGCTATGCACTTAAACAAAATTTAGTTAAAAGAACCAAATAGTATTTCAAAAAGGTGCAGTCCTGTTGTTTTTTTTTCCAACTAAAAAAACAAGGATTAGAGGTTGGTCAAAAGCAAGCAGAGCTTGGGTCCTAAATGGCAATAGGACAGCCAACCATGTATTCATATCAAACCAGTAATTTGGTGGTTATCAAAATATTTCTGACCATCAAACACTTTGGTTCTTATCTTCCTTCAAGTGAAAACATTCTCAGAACCATCGTTATGGCAGACTACTTTGTAATAGAAATTTTATACGTTTAAAAAATTCAGAGCGATTCTAAGATTTTGAAATAGTTTTCATTTAAAAAGTCTTAACAAGATGCTTCAATTTTATTTACAGTTTTCTGACACTAGAATAAATGCAAAACAAAACAATATTAACTGCCTTAAGAAATGCCCACACAAGTAAAATATCTTCTTAGATCCATAGGCTGGGTAACTTACGAAGGTCTCCAGAGAAATATTTAATGAAACATGTTTTAAATTTTAATTATTTTTAGGTTATCATTTAATATGCTCTTTATTCTTAATTACATATCAGATTCATGATTCATGCTGCTGGCAGGTAATTATTGGGAATATATCTTTTTTTAAAATTTTGTTACGGTGGAAGTTGGCCTTGTTTAGATTGTGTTTACGTCATGTTTTCTTGTGCAACTCATGCATGGACTTTGGCTGACCTTAAGTTTGGCAACGTGACGGGGTGTGGCTTAATTATAAATTTTTGCCCTTGACCTTCAATACATGTAAACATAGTCTATAGTCTTTAGAATTAGAATTCTGTACAACATACAAGACGGGTCGAGGTATAGCCACAATGCAGAACCCCTTTCTGGAAAAATCTCTAAGAAAGACTATAAATAAGCTGATCTACATAGAGCTAGAGACATTAAGCTATTACGATACAAGACAAAGAGAAAGTCAGGGTTTTGTACTGATCGTAGATTTGTATATTAATATTTACAGTGTGTGCACCTGTTACAATAATATCGTACCAGTGCAAGTTCATTGCTGTAGTGTAAGCCAATAGCCTTAGTTTTATTCTATTTGATTTTGTAATTTTAAATTAACTTAATAAATTATTATTTGTAATTAGCCCTAGTTTGGGTATTGTTATTTAGTACTGTATTTAATTAATGGTATCGTCCTTTGTTATGTACTGTTTGACATGAGCCATAGAGTAAAATAAGAGATTAAATTCTCTACATTATAGCAGTACGTAACAATTTCATTATAGTAAAATTTTGAAGGAGCTTAACTAACTTGCTATGATCAGGCTCTTATTAAGCCTAGTATTTTGAGCATAACATTTTCCTAATGCCTTATATATTGGTAAGCCAGAAATGCAATAGTCAATTTAAGATTTTATATAATTAAGGATACGAATGAATTTTTGGGGCAAGATGAATTGCATGTGTATAAGCATTGATTGCTGACTTGAAATCACCAGCAGCAAAAAAGGAACTATAATGAGAGAAAAAAATAAATTGATTAAAAGTTATCAGGAAAATAAAAAAAACAAATGGAAAAAAAAAGACTCATGTCCTAGCAGACAAAGATAATAAGTGTATAACATTTTACTGCACATCATTTTCGTTCATTTGGATTCATAAGTGTTAAAAAAAATATTTAATCAATTTCAGATAATTATTACAATATTTTCTTTTAATTACTTCGTCTTTGATTGGATGAGTGTACAATTTTGATTGCAAAGAGCTAATTTAATTTATTTTTTCCAAAGTAGGTAGTCTCTGTACTTACTTCCCTTTATCTTGTAACCATTGTGGATTTTTTTCCTCTTCATTTAAGTCATTATCTAATGAATTTTGAATAGTTCTCCTAGCCTCTGCTTGTTTCTTTAGCCACTGCAATATTACTAATTAAATTAAAGCTTATATCATACAGTCAGTAAAAGCTTTTCTATCAACTTTAAGTAATTTTAAAACAGTAATGTTGCCAATACAATTATGAAGACTTGTATGAGTTTTTCCCTAACTTTCCAAAAATGGATCACTTATATAATAACCAAAAAAATAAGTCTTCTTGTTTCTTACTTCTTCTTCCTGCTGGGCCTGTGACTCTCTGGTTGGGGTAGGAAAAACTCTTGGTGTATGATTGATTACAATCTTTCCATTTTCCCGTGGTGGCACTTTGTTATCTTTTGTTTCTTTTTCAAATATATTTGAGGTCCTAACTAAATATTTAGATCAATGCAAATTATGTTTATTGTTATCTATAAAAGACAAATAATCACACTTAAACTATATGGTAAAACATAATTTTCTTTTAAATAGTTCTAATTAATATATGATACAATTGGTAACTGAATAAATACAGAGAACAAAATATAGCCATTCATATTATTTTAACTTAATCATTTCTAAAGTCAATTGTTATTTTTTTTAAAATTAAGAATAATACCCCTTCTTTGCCTCTTTCTCTCTTCTCTATCTTTTTCTTTCTCTGCACCAATAAGCACTTTTTGAATAGCTCGCATTTTTTCTATTTCCTGTATTTCAAAAAATATGATAGTATTATCTTCCAAACTTTCAGTTAAATAAAATAACATTTTTTAAACATAAATTAAGTAACAGGGCTTAAAGTTGTTTGTTCCTTTGTTTGTAGCACACTGTGCAAAATTCTTTCCACTTTTCCAAGCCTGACACATTATTTTTGAGGATGAGGATGATACCTAATATTAAGAGAGACTTTTAATTCCCCCCCCCCCCCACTTTTTGCACCCCCAACTTTTGAAATACCTTTGAAAGGGAGAACAAAATCAGCATGTCAGACAAAAAAATTTATATTTAAAACAAATTTTTGCTCCTAATTTAGTTTACCATATAATCATTCACCAGTTCTGAAAAGCAAAGCCAAGAAAGGTAAATTTTTAATGCCTAATATAATATGCCTGAAGATATAATAATTTGTATACCAGTGTTTTTATGTATATTTTTGAAGTAAAACTTACATAAAAATATTGTCTCCATCAGCATTTATTTTTATTTGAATGTTCATTCAAAATCTAACTATTATATAAAAATAGTTCTTTCAAGATGGGTGCCATATATCAGAAAACATCTGCCTTTTTCCTCAGAAAGTGTGGGCTACTCAGCTTGGCTTAAGGAGCTGGTCAGCTAAGCACCTCGACACCCCTCATTCTTCATATTCATACCATAAAAACTGTAAAGTTCCATAGGATTTTCAACTTAATGACGAAACCATCAAAGAATTTTTGCTACCTACAATATTTAAATGAAGGAATCTCAGCTCCCTTTAATGATTTTCAATTGGTGATTGAATTTTCCAGCACTGAGAAAAGCACAACAGTAATAAAACTATTTTTGTAAAAAACTAGGGCAAGTTCCACTTGAAATATGCCAACTAAACCATTGAATATTTCTGAAAAAAAGAACCCTGACTTCTGGTTAAATACTCTTTTTGTTGCAAGGACTTTGTTTTGTTCATCTTAAATTCCATATTGCAAAGCAAAGTGGATTGAGTCTTCCCTCCTTTTAACTTTATATGCTTACAAATAAGCTCTGCCCCTCATGAAGTGTCGTTACCAGTACAACTACTTAGCCTTAGTGTTTTATGGAGTACAGCTGTTGCTAATTGCAGCAGATACCCACTTTCCACGCATCCAGTGGATCCAAGAAAATGACAACAGTCAATACAACTTTAAAACAAACTGCATCAGAGGAGTTTTCAAAATGACATTGGTATCAGAATTAGATCAACGTCATGACTCCATCTCTGGATTTTACAGTTTGGGTTTAATCCCATAATCTTACCCTAGCTTCCTACATTGATTGTATATATTTATATTGATATGCATTCAACAATTTCATGTTTTGCATCAAATTTATGTGTAAGCCATCAGAAAATAATTATACTTTCTGTAATTTTGGGAAAACATTTTTCAATAATTAAATAACAAGACTAAATATTTCCATTAAAAATTTGTGAATACTGTATAAAAAAGATTCGTTTCTTAGTTTCTATAATTAAAAAAAAAGTTTTCAAAATTTTATTTAAACCATTTAATTGTTACTAAGTTTATTACCCTACACTACAACCACAGAGGCCATTTTGAGTACCATAGATTGTCGCATAAAAAGAATCCCTTTTTTAAAAAAAATTACCTTAAAATGCCATGTCCTTGCATAATGTAATCTGTCAATCTTGTTCCATATATTATTTATATTATTTACAATGCAATACGAATTAAGGAAAGAAAAATTTATTTTTAAATAAATACATCAAAATCCTTTTAAATTCTTATATTTAATATGAACTGTGGTTAAAACTAATATAACTATGCTAAAAATCTGCCAAGGGGGCACTGCTGACATTACTGGCCTTATGTGGGTACAGGATGTGTGCTCAGTTGCCAAATGCGAGTGGGTAAAGAATATTTGTTGCATAGGCATTAGTATGTGTTGTTAAAAGAAAAATTAAATACCCATATAGAGAAAACCCTAAACTTTAAGAACCCGTAGTATTTTTTACCATAATTTTGTTGCATTACATGAGATAGTATATAGTAGTTAAAATTAAAATACTTCAGCATTGTTAATAAGACTAAAGCATGTTATAATTTTAAAATGATATGAACAATCAACATTTTCAACAACCATTTTGATGGAATTACAACCAATTTTCCTCAATAATTAGCAACCAAACCTTTCACTTTTCCACACAAAAAGTTAAATTTTGTTTTTCAAAATTTAATCATTCTTACTTGTTGAGAAACAAGTCTCTGCTCTTCTTTCCATCTTTCTAGGTCTTGTGTTGCTTTTAATCTTTCATTTTCTTTAATGTTTGATATACGACCTCTTTCATCTTGTTCAATCTTTGACAAAAAATATATATTTATTGTTTCATTCTATTGCACCAATGGCAAGATAACAGCTACAGGTTTGTACATGTGAAGCTCCAACCAACCTTAGACCAAAAACTCTTCAGCAATCAAGGAAGTCTTATGTGAATTAGAATACAAACAATAATAAGTGCAAAGCTAAACCATTCTATTAAACAATTTAGTCATTAAACATTTTAACTGAATTCAAATTAATTACATTCTTGACAGAAATTGAGAGGCAAGGTTAACTTTTTATCATGGAAGGTAGCTATATGAATGACTTATTACCTTCATCATTTCAGAGACAGCCAGTTTTTCATGCTCTCTTTTTATTTCAGATCTTTTAGTAACCTCTTCTTCAATTTGTCTCTGAACCTTTTTATGGGCTTCATCTCTCCTCTGTCTCATTATTTCTTTGTCATCTAATAAAGTAGAAAAAATGTTACATATATTTTTTACTAATAAAAGCGTTTGCATTCTTTGAGGTGATCGCAGTAAAAAAAAAATTATGAAGGTTTGCATTTTTACAATGTACACTAGTTCAAGCATTCAGTATACATTTTTTCAATTAAATTTTTTTTTTCTATTATAAATAAATACATGAATTCAAATTTGAATGTGTTTTAGCCCACTTAAAGCTATTCATCCCCATCATTAATGCTTATAAAACAGAGCTCCTTTCAACATTACACACAAAAACTTGTTAGCATCATTAAGCCACCCAGGGTGGACCAAATTTTTACTGCCCCTCTTCAATGAAAAAATAACTCTGAAGTTGTCCAAAAATGCTGCCCTCCATATAAATAAAAAATGTGCTGCGCCACCTGCTTTCAGAAATAATTTAAATTCATAGAAAATCTTTCCAGTGAAATTATAAAACATTATTACTTTTACTGAAATCCTGTATAAGAAATATAATTACCAGTATCTGAGGACTGCAAGCAATTCCAAAATCTAGGTTCCTTTTTAAAGAGTTTAAAGACAACAGCACCATTTCCTACTTGAGCACAGCCTCTGGTGTCTTCAACAGGTGCTACCAAAAGGCATTCAAACAGGTATGGTGGGTAGCTAACCTTTTTATTCATAGAAGGAAAAAAAATGTGTCTCAATAAGATTTTTTTACAATAATTTGTCATACATTGCACAATAAATTTCTAAGGGGTAATAAGGGGAGAGACTGCAATCAGGTTAGCACAATATAAAATAAGTGAAACGGAGTAGGGTTAAACCTGAAAAAAGAAACGCAACAAAACAATGAATGTGTCGGCAGAAAGCCTTCGTGAGCGAACAAGACAACAGAAAAAACAGTATAAAATAAGAAATAGCACTTAGCTTGGAAGTAGTATCCGTGGGCAGCAAAAGAAATGTGTATTATTCATGAAAACAAAGCATGTTTGGCCATTCTATAGTTTTAAATGTAGAATACCAGAGGTTTTTTAAATTTTTGAGTTAAAGATTGCATTCATTTTTAAAAAATTCTTAAATGATTTAATATCTTAAAGTTTAAAGGGTAGTACTGCCAAATGCAGACAAACTGACACCCTTTAAAAAAAAACTTAAGTTAAAACAATACATGCAATAGCTGGGACATTAGATTGATAAAAATTAGGCATAACTTAATAACTGATTCTCAGACATTTTACATATCTCATATTAATATACAAGACAATCAGGGACTGGAACCATCTTTCAAAAGGAACAGTTGAGGCGACAACACTAGACACATTTGTGTCTATTGCCTCAAGCCTTCAAACCCCCAGTGCATAATTTCCTCATCACCACCAGTAACAGAAACATTGCAAATCCCATCTACATGCATAGGAGCCAAAATGATCAATAAATTGATCGTGGGCCCTTAAGATATAGAAGAAGAAGAATATAATTATTATATTACAGCTCTATGGTTGTGATAGGTATTTTTTTTATTGCAGCTATGATTAATATTTTCTTATTGTCTTATAATTAATTTATAAGACTCAATACTCAAGTAATGAGGAAGTGAAGTGAGAACACAAAATGACAATGATCAAAGTTTAATTAATTAACCCTCTTGAAACGGCTGGGCTTATCTATCAGGCCGATAATTCAAGCCTTGAGATTGGTTAGTTGTTTTTTTTTTTCAGCTAATCAGATTGCTTCTTACATATTCCTGCACATCCTGGCATTTTAATGGCAGCCTCCGTTTATTGTGTACTAGCTATTGTTGATTTTTTTATTTGTTGCAAGTAATATAGTAAAATTCCAAAATGTCTGACTGTGAAACTGAACAAACTATAATTAGTGATTTTGATATTCTATGAGTGAATCTGACACTGATGAAAAAAACCAGGAAAATAATGAAGAATATCAAAATGATGATGTTCATGATAATGTTGTGAGCCCTTGGTTTAGTATTAAAAGACCCCTTTGAATTTTTAGACAATATAGGTCCTATGCCTCAAGGCATAAGCACACCATTCGAGTACTTTATGCTGGTTTTTTTTTCACTAAATATCACTCATATATTTACAGGGGGGGAAAAATAAGTATACAGACAACTTTCTCAGTGCCGGATAGCACCCAGCTTAAGAGAAAGTCCCTAGGTCATAAATGTGGGCCTGTTACAGTGAGTGTCTGTAGCAACTGAAAAATAGCAGGGGGAAGTAGGAGTAGAACCATGTGCCAGAGGTGTCTGAAGGGCCACCATGATTAATGTATTAGTTCATGAAATTTCCTACAAGAATATATATATAGTTTTATTTATGTAAAGGAAATAGTTTATTTTTTATAATTTTTTTTGCAATGCGAGAGCTGAGCTTATAAAGTGATCCCTCTTTTTGGCACAGACACCTCGAAAAGAGTCTGTCCCGAAAGGATTAATTTTTCAAAGAATAGCAGAATAATACTAATCGACAAACTAACACTACTACTTTTAGTTAAACTGAAAAGTACCTGTAATTTAAGTTAAGTATATATATATATTTTTTTTTTTAATCGAAGTGGCTATTCAGACCCAGGTCCCAGAAGTGAGAGGTTGGGATTAAAAAAATATTAAAAATAGTATTGTTAGGCTGTAAGACAAAATTTGGTATCAAATGAATGATTATTGAATTTAATATTGAATTAATGGACTATATTTTTGTAAACTTACTTCTTCAGTTTAACTAAAATAACTTACCCCAAATAACATCCGAATAGCATTTAGTCTAAAGGGACCTGAATAATGTCTATGCGTGTCTGGGTCCCTTGAGACTAAGTAAGTGCTATTAGAATGTCATTTGTGGACTATGGTAATTTATATTACTAAGTATACTATTATTAGTTAAACTGAAGAAGTAAGTTTACACAATTATAATCCATTCAATTATCTTTCATTTGATACCTAATTTTGTCTGGTGAAAAAATCTGATATAGCGTCGGTAATTAATAACTTTAAAATAGACCTAAAACAGGCTTAATAACATAAAATACATCCAACAAAGCTGTAGTTAACACAGTTTCAAGTTTATTTAAAGCACCATTCACTCTGAACCACAACAGACTGTCTAACCACGGATAGTTATCAAGAAGCATAATAAGAAAGTTGGGAAACATGTCTGTGCGTCGAAACTGGTTATGATAGGCAAATTCTTGCAGATATGAGAGAAACAATGCACGACTAGTTCCAAATTGTCTTCTCAACTTCCGCTTCGCTCTCATCCACATGTTTTCGATTTTCTAGGTATGCACTTCGCTGTCATCAGTATCCCCAAAATTATGTTGGTGAACAACAAAAGAATGCTCGTATATTCCGAGTCCGATTTGATTTATGCGTGTGTATGCAGCCCAGCCATCGGAAATGATGTGTGTCCCTGGCAAAATGTGAGCTTCTATACAAGCTTGTAGCGTGTCTGTGCACCTGTCTTGCACTTCCAACAAGAAGCACTTCCCACTTCTGCTCTCGGTCCCACCGAAGACCCAGTGGCCATCTCACCACTAACCATGATGCTATTTCTTGTGGAAATATTTCGTTTTATCTATCTCCACAATTATAGGCTCTCCATTTAGTCTATTCCACCAATTTTGGTCGCATTACGTTCCAGCCAAGTTCCACACTCCTCTCCCATGTAGTTGCACCAATCAATTACAAGTTTTTTGGTAACAGCTGCCTTGTGCTGTATCTGCATCTGTGGCATATCATACGACTAACAATACACCATGGTGACAATTTGTTGTAATGATAAGTGACTGCGTGAAAAGAAAGAAATGTGTCGCACAGATAGGCAGAACCCACAACGGTCGCATGCCCATTTCCTACCGTCAATTCCCTGCTTGTACGGATTCAAAGGGCACGGCTGATTGCATATTCCGCATGATGCTGAGTTGCGAATCAAATTGCGGTAGGCACACCACTGTAATGCCGAATCAGGTTGTTGCAAGTGTGGTGAAAGCGTTGACAATCGCCATGTTTAATTTAAAATGTCATTTTTACTCAGTATTTTGTTCGGTGGTACATTAGTCGTTGACGCTCGTGGTCTTCCTGCAATTGTGGATTTATGTCACAGAACGGTTGTTATGGTATGTATCCCTTCAACTAGTGTCCTTAGTGTCCCCAAACCTCCACCTTATATCTTCCCCTCGTGTGACTATAACCTCTACTAGATAACCATCCCACAGTCATTGAACTGCTACATCATTAAAGAAAACATTCCCCGACCAGATCCTTTTACACCCCAGACATCCATTCCATGTCCCTACCAAGCTATTAGCAGTATCATGTTGAGACATTTACCATTACTGATAATTAATCTAACTCTACCCATGGTCTTCTTTAACATTCCACTTCCACCTGGAAACTTAAACTTGTTAATCGAAAACATTTGTGATACCCGCTCCCACACAGTCTACCATGGAGTCCCCCTTTTCTACAAACTATCATATCTTCCCTGTACTTGAACTACCATAAACTCTGCTGATGTCAGGCTATTAATTCTCTCATCTATTGTACCTTTGAGCGGTACCTACACCCATCGCTCCCGTCTCAGCATGGTCATTTGTAACAATTTAAATTTCTTTTAATGTAGAAACTTCCTGTTGTCTGCTAAAGTATTTTTCTGGTATGGTAACCTAACTAGTGGGTGCCAATCTAAGTTTAAGTATGTAGTATTCGTATGTAATTACTGACGCTATATCGGAGTTAATCTTTTGTCTTACAAACCCTACAATAATATTTGTAACATTTTTTAATAAACCCAAACTCACACTTCTGATACACGGGTCCCTTTTTTTTACATATATAGTCATAGGGATGGCTAACTAAAAGACTAAACAGAGTTTTTTTAATCCTATTTAACAATTCAGAGAACTTACCTTCAAATATTCATCTGAAGTAAAAATACTAACGTTATTAGCTTTTACACCTTTAAGCGGAACGGTTATCCAGACTATTTGATCTGTTTCCTCCCACGTATAATCTTTAATTAGTAATGGCATTTTGTTTACCCTTAATTCTTAAGATTTAATTCACAGAAAACAAAATTGACAATAAAATTATAAACATTTGTCGTTTCTAAGACTGATTTAATTTTTTTATGAAATGGAAATAAACGAAATAAAATAGAAAATTATTTATCAAAATCATTAAATAACAAATGTAATAAACACGTGATACCGATATTTCTTAAATTATATATTATTTTTTAATATCGTTTTAAAAATAATATTTAGTTTAAGAAAATAATAAACAATTGTAAATTTTTGAAAATTTGAGTTGTTTTTTTAAAAAATCTTAGTATTATTAAGGAAGACATATTGCCTGATTTACTCATTCAAAAAATTTTTACGAGGGGAAAAAAAAGTATTATAATTTATTTTTTTTAAAATATACCATTATACTATTCAAAAATAAAATATCTAATGGAAACTTTGGCCTTGGCATAAATTAACATATATAACAAATGAAAATTATGTTGGGCTCATATTATTGATGGTACTAGTATTGAGAATATCCAACTAACATTAATATTTCATTAAACATAGAATTGCAGAGTGGAGTGGTACCAGCATATATCCCGGTAAAAACAAAAGGAATTAACGGCATTTGTGATCTGGTGGCTTTTTCAATTCACCTTAGTTTACATGTAATACTATTTATTTATATACATTTTTGACATAATTTAATACTGTTTTCAATTCTTTATATATTCTATTCATTGTAGATGTGTTAAGCCAAATAAAAGATGTGGGCCGTGCGAAAAAAATAATAATCATTATCACGATGATTGAGACTGCCCTAAGCCTAATCACAGAGGGCCAAGGCTGCGCGGCATTTTGGACCCGGGTATCAGTATCAGAAGTGAGAGTTTGACAGTTTGAATTTATGAAAAGGCTACGGCTATTGGGACCCGGTATCAGAAGTGAAAGGTTGGGGTTATGGTAAATGTAAAGGACAAATGCCACGATTTTATCAATGGCCGCGACTAATGCCCAAAGTCCTAAGCCTAAATCGATCCCTATGCTTAACCTGAACCCTAGTAAATCGATCCCTATGCTAGCCACGTCGATGAGATCGGGGAATTGCCGAAAACCGGGTATCGTGATTTCGTTATCAAAATGGCGACTTCCACTTTTTAATTTACAGAGAGTCTCGTTGTTTACGATTTTTTTGTTAATTATAGCTCAGCAAGCACATTCTATTTCCGCCCACAACTTTGAGTAGACATGTTGTTTTATGATTAGACACTTTTGTTCTAAAAAATATTTGAGGTCTTAACTTTGAAAATTGAAGGTAAAATAATGCTTGTTTTACTCATTCACATTTTTCTTTTTTTTTGGAAAGGGTGTCTTTCTTAAATAAAAGATGACGGGAGATAATAGCATAAATTACAACATATCAAAAATTCAAGAGGTTAGCACCCAGTTCAATGGTAAAAAAATGCGTACCAAATTTTTGTCATGTGTGTCTCAAAATGACCTATTATCGATAACGATTTTTAATATTTTTTTTTTTTTTAAAAAGTAAATAACTTGATTTACAATATTAATCCAGCTTATTAATCCAAAATAACTCATACAAAAACAAATAATTTCATAACACAGATACCTATTTTAACAACATAAATATATTTTAAACTTGTTTTGATGCTTTCATTGAGGTGTATTGACTTGAGTAGAGGGTTAAACTGAATTTATTATTAGCCTCATTATTATTATAATTAATATATTAAATATAACAGTTTAATATATATACAGGCCTAGAAAAGTATAGGATTTTAAGTACTGGTATAGGCCTAGCTCCACCCCAACTCATTATTTGTGTGACACATTATTTGTTATTTGTAATGATATTTTAATGAATATTATGATTCTTAATGACTTAATGCATAGATTAAGCAAAAATGTAAAAAAAAAAAAATAGTCGCTTACCTTTTAATTGAAAAATCCTATATTAAATCACATACCACAATATTTCATAAGAGAATTATTACATAATCCTTGGTATTCTCGAAGAAAAAACACACTTTCTGCCTTAATAGTCCAAGAATTACTTAAGATATTATTAATAATATTAAAGAACAATCATAAAAACTTATACTTACCACAAGCAAATGACTAGAACTTATTTTAGTTTGTATAAACCACCTAAGTTGATTCTATCAATGCATGTTTATTTGTGAAACAAGATTACTAACTTGTAAAAAATGACATACTATTTTTTTGTCATATTCAGACATTCAAATGATATGGGACTAATATACATATATAGAAAATGGTAAAATAAAAAGTGTAATTTTAAATTTTAACTAAATGAAACAAGTAATCCCTTTATTATTAGTTTATACTTATAAATGTTAAACAATTCCACAGAAAATTTGAAATTTATATCTAAAGAATATTATTATTATTATGATTTTAGGGAAATTTTTAAAAAAATATTTCAACAAAATTAATGAATTAATTTCAAATAAGTCACGAGTCAGCATATTTATACATTTTTTAAAAGGAAAACATCAAGATTTTTTTTTTAATTTTTGCGGAATATTAACAAAAACTAACTTATATTTTGTGGCTTTATTTAGAAGTACTCTTATTTAACTATGTTTCCTGTATATATTATATTTTTGTCTCATTTTACAATAAATTTATAGGCATTCAAAAAAAAAGCAAATTGATGGTCACGAAATATGCCTAACCTGAACCCTAAATCGATCCCTATGCCTATTCTAAACCCTAATTCACTGCAACTATAATATGCAAGCAAATAACGCCGTTGCATTCGTGCTTTACATTAGCCGGATTTATTTAAAAATATTTAAAATTGTTGTGTTTGTAAGATAAAATTTGGTATCCAATGAAAGATAATTCTGATAATTATTATTAATAATTAATAGCATTTAGTCTAATGTAGGGCAGGGATTTCAAAAGTCTCACGTGCACCCAGTCTGCGCATACTGAAAAATCATGCAAAACTTGTGATTATCTCCTTCTTGTGTGTTTTACGTCACAGTTTTCTAATCATAAACTAATTAACTAATTTATCATCAGTGACATAGATGTTACCTTTTAATGTCTAATCGTACCATATTGAATTTTATTGTACCGTTGCTTGAGAAATTCACAAAGAGGAATAACTTTATTTCGTTAATAATGGCCATTTTAAAAAAAAGTTATGCATTTAACTCTGTAACTAAAAATGTTAATTAGGGTAAAAGGAGGTAATTGGCTCCATGGGGTATTGAGCCCTAATTGCTCAGGTCATATAATAAAATGCTTGATATTATTGAAAGAAGAGAGAAAGGCATTAAACTTTTCTTGATAGAAACTTACTAACCAATCAGAGAACTTTTCACAACCATTCTTGGGTTTCTAACCTATGGGATTGGTTTTAATTTGCCTTTTTAGATGAGTGCTTTTCCCCTCTAGTTTTCAGCCTTCTTCAAACCCTTTGTAAAACTTCAGCTAAGAGGATGCTTCTTTATTTTTACTTGAAATTTTATTTCTACAGTGAAAGGTTTTTAGTTTACATACAAAAACAAGTACAACTAAACTCAGCAAGTACTTTTGTTTAGTTTTTAACTATAATATGTGTATGTAATGAATGAGTTAAAATACTGATATTTGTAGAGCAAATGAAGCTGGTCGTTTTTGCAAAGTAAAATGGCAGTTGGATGAATGATTTAGAGATTTTTTATAAAAAAGCTATAAAATTCACTTTAATACTAAAGTTCATTTTAATATTTTGAATAGGAAGAATTTGTAAAAGAGATGTGGTTCTGTAGATTATTTATTTATTTAATTATTTTATAAAAATGAATATTTTATATAGCAGGGGCTTAACACCCCCAACTGTTAAAAGATGATTAAAACACCCAAATAATATTGATCAGATTAATAAAATCCGTTTTAATTCAAATAACATTAAACAGATACAGTCTAAATTGAAACAAAAGTTATTAATTTTTAGAAATAGGTTTAAAAAATTTTAAATATAGTTTTGATAATGAAATCACAGAAAAAGCTGATATTGAAGCCATGGAATGGATCTTTCAGAATTGCCTAAAACCTATTTGAAAATATATGCATTGAACATGCTGGAGTTAATTGCCCCCATTTTGTTAAATTTAAGTCATAATTAGTTTTAACTCTTTACCCTTTTTGTCACTATATGGCTTTAAATTTTGCTCATTATATCTTTTGTACTTCAAGAAAGATGTGTGGTCTGTTATTTAAAAACATTTTATGTTTGAATTTAATGATATTTAATTACTTCAAAGAGAAAAACAAAAAGTTCTTGAAAACATGGTGCTTAATGCCCTCCATTACCCTATCACCAGTTATCTCCCCTCTCAAAAAAAAAATTAGTTGTCTGAAATGGCTCTTCTCACTAATTTAATATAAAGATATAAAAATATTTTCATTATTGTTCATCTTTAAAAATCTGCTTAGCACTAACCAATTAGTTAATAGGAAACAGTTTTACAATATTATTAAATTAGAAGTTAATACAACCGAATAATTTAAGAAGTTTCTATAAATTTTAGTTTTTATAGTCTGTTGAAATTCTGACAAGTTTTGTCCCTTGATAAACATAAATTATATGTACTTCGTTGAGTTCCGGGAAATGCCAAAAATCGGGTAACGTGATTTCGTTGTCAAAATGGCGACCTCCACTTTTTTTATTTACAGAGAGTCACGTTGTTTACGACTTTTTAACTATTTATAGCCCAGCATGTAAATTCTATTTCCGCCCACAATTTAGAGTAGACATGTTGTTTTATGATTAGTCACTTAATTCCCCCAAAAAATTGTGGGGCTTCACTTTTAAAATCAAAGGTAAAAAAAAAAGGCTAATTTAACCCTCATTCATATTTTTGTGTGGAAAGCTTAAATCGCTTCATTGTAAGAAGCTTTATAGATGATGGCATTAGTTACAACATATCCAAGGTTAGGCCCACCGGTTTGGTCATAAATTCACCCGGAAATTTTAATCACGTGTGTCCCAAAATTACCTATTATCGTTAATGTTTGTTGCTTTGGTAAATAACCTGTTTTACTCTGGAAATCCAGCCTATTAACCAATAATAACTCATTTAAAAATTTTAAAAAATTAATTAATAACACAAATAAATATTTTTTAATATGATTTGAACCTTTTATTGAGGGATATTAGGTTAAATAAGGCCATTATTACAATTAATAGTTAATTATTCATTATTAGTTTTATATACTGGTATTTATAATATATATATATATATTTAATAATAATAATAATAAATTTCATTTCAAAAACACGCTTCATCCCCAAAGGCTCGAAGCGCGGTACAAAGTCAACCATATTAAAAAGAGAAATAAAAACAATCTAAAATTTACCACATTTAAAAACAGACACAACAATGTAAAGCTACACACGAGCATACCCAGTCAAAGTCTTTCATTCCGTTTCAACCATAAGTAACACAAGCCAATATACATTAACTGAAAAAGATGGTAGATCGCATCACCCCAGAAGGTGTTTGCGAAATAGATGTGTTTTTAAATCAGTTTGAAAGGACTCCAGTGTCTGGCTGTTTCTGAGAGCGACTGGAAGTGCGTTCCAAATTGTTGGGCCGGCAAATGCAAAAGTGCGTTTTCCGTAAGTCTCAAGGCGAACACACGGTATCGATATTTTGCCACTTTCGGATGAGCGGAGCTCTCTAGTAGGTACATAAGGCGTCATGAGTGCTTTGAGATAAGATGGCGCCAGGTCATGTAAGCAGCGGTAGCACAAAGTTGCAATTTTGTACTCTATGGGAGCGCGGACCGGCAGCCAGTGCAACTCCCTCAGAAGTGTTTTAGCATGGTCCAATTTGCTATGAATATATAGATGCCTAGAATAGTATTACTCCCCCCCCCCCCTATACTTATATGTAATGATATATTATTGTGATTCTTAAGGCATAAATTAAGTAAAAATGTACAAAAAATATTCACTTACCTTTGGTATTGAAATATCCTATATTTAATCGCATGTCACACTATTCCAAAATAGAATTATTATATAATCCTCAGTATTCTCAAAGAAAAAACACAGGGGTGAATTTAGCTATTATTTACCTTCAATTTTCAAAGTCTAACCATCACTTTTTTTCTAAAAGAAAAGTGTCAAATGAACAACAAACATGTCTGCTTTAAGTTGAGGGCGGAATTAGAATTAACTAACAAAACTAACTTTAGCAAAAACAATTCCAAACAATACTACCCTCTGTAAATTAAAAAGTGGAGGTCGCCATTTTGACAACGAAATTACGATACCCGTTTTTCAGGTATTTCCGGGGCATACCGAGGTCCCTATCTATTATTACTTATTTAAGATATTTTTTTTAAAAATTTATGAGACATTTAATCATTTTATTATAAATGAAAGACATCAAATAAAGACATGAGATTTCAAAATCATCATAGTAATTTTTTTTAGGACATACTGATCATACAAAATTTACAAAAACAGATTACTTTCAGCTCCTAGACAAATATTTAATATTTCTAATAAAATAAAAGTAACAGAAATTAGTTTTATTAAACAAAACTCTTGAATAATGTTAAAAAGTTGAAAGAAATTGTGTAGATTCAGTAAATCATTATGTTATTTCTACGTTTCTAAATTTTAGACACGAAAATTTTTAACTTTTTTGTTTATAAATAAAGAACTTTTTGGAATTCCTTCCATGGACAAAAAGACACATTTTTACATAGATTGCAAGAAGTCTGAAGAGCAGTCAAAAAAGAAAATGACAGAACATCCCCATTACTGTACCTTTTAAAATTTAATGGCACTGTTACTGGTATGCTTGTATTAGTCTTATTATCTTATACTATAAGTTATAGGCTATTGGTGATATTAGTAGTTTTTATTGATAATCTCGTGCATTGAATATTAAAAAGACTTCTACTTACCTTTTATAAATATAAGAATTGATTTAAAATTTAACCAAAGCATATAATTCATATAAATACAATAAACATTTTTTTCCCTTTAAAAATTTTTTTTTTCTCCAATTTTTCTGTTCATGTTTTTTTTAAAATGCCTTCAAATAAAATGATCCAAAGTAGTTGATGTTATGTAAAGGTTTAGTTTTTTAATGTGTTGCATGCAGCATATTGCAATGAGCATGTCTCCTGAAAATCTGGTAGCATTATCTTTTTAAATAAAAAAAAAGTAGTGGGCAAAATAAGGCAGACATTTGTAAATTCAGTCTTTAAATACAAAGATAAAGGAAGGGGTTTAAAAAATTCACCAAAAAATTTCATAACTTATTTCTGTAAAAGATAGAAAGATGAAATTGGTATTTTTGCAAAGCTTATAACTAGGCCTTTAAAATTATGTATCATTTATGGCAATAGGACAATAATTAAAATTTCTCTCAAAATACCTAGTCTAATGGGAACCAGGTCCAAATAGCGGTGATGTGTGTCACGCATGCAGGTCCATTTTGATTAAATGCTATTCGGATGTTATTTGTGATTGTGGTAGTTTATTTTAGTTAGACTAAAGAATTAAGTTTACAAACATATAGTCCATTCAATTATCTTTCATTCGTACCAAATTTTATCTTAAAAACCCAACAATAACATTTTAAATATTTTTAATCCCAACCTCTCACTTCTGGTAGCAGGGTCCCAATAGCCACTTTTTTATTAAAAAATATTATTGTAGGGTTTGTAGCATTTATTCCTAATATATAGTCTACTCTATATAAGGCATTATAAGGTAATGCATCCCCTTATTACTAAAACTAAAATACCAGTATGGAATTGGGACTACTTATTTTTTACTTTCAACTTTGGCACTTGACTAATTAAAAACTTTCCCTGGCCGATGGTTTAATAGTTTTTGGAAAACTCTTATGAATGATACTCTTAAATAGCACTAAGGTATAGATGCAAGTGGCTGATATGAGTGATACTCTTAGATAGTACTAAGGTATAGCCATATAGCAAGTGGCTGTAAATAGTGGCCCATGTCAACGTTTGTCACACAGAAAATTGTGATAATTTATAATATGGACTTTAGCAGGCTCAAATAAAAATATTCCAGTTTAAATGTCTTCAAAATTTATTCTGAAACACGAGTTAACAAATATTTTGATTTATATAATGGTAATAATTGAATTTTTCCTAAACTAAGTATCAGTTCTTTCTGCCATTTAGGGGAGGGGGAGGGGGTGTCACAATCCAAAATGCATAATGAAGTCTACAGTGAGGAGAATTGTGAAAATGTTTCATGAGCTGGCGCATTGAAATTTTGCACACATATAACTCACTATATTTTGCTAACATGATTTAGTATGAAAGACATCCTTTTAAAATTTAAATTTCTATACTGACAGGTGCCTTATATTGACATAGGATATACCGCAATTAAAGATGATACCGGTATAAAGAACAATAAAACTCAATGGGAATGTAGGCCAAGATGTTTTCTAATGTGAAAAGGCAGAGTCATACCTTAATAATGGGTCAAATGGACTCACATTTTATTAAAATTACACTCACATTAAAAAAAAAAAACTCTGATTCTATTGCGCCTGTTTCTGATAGAAATACGTAGTAGTCTCCCTTGTGTTATCTTCCACTTATTATACTACTTTTAACTCGTATAGTAAATGATCACTGGGGGATGTGCCTGGGCATTAATCATGGTGCTCAGCTATCACTAACTAACAATGGCCTGTACCACTTTGTCCTGAAGTGGTCTGCCAGCCAGTTCTTTTTTCCCTTTCCCAAATAAGTTATTGGTACTTCTGGCTGAGGCCAGGCAGCCCCTGTCTTTGTCAGAGTGTTCGCTTTCTCATTGCCACTGACGTTGACGTGACCTGGGATCCATTGCACTGTCACCTGGCCTCCTAGGTGAGTGGTGCCTGATCTCTTTCCCAAGATGTCGAGAGCAGATCTTGAGTCGGAGTAGACGATCACATCGAGCCCCACAAGCTCCATCCCTTTCAGCATGTGATACACTCTCTCCAAGGCCCTGTGTATAGCGTTAAGCTCCGCATCAAAATTTGATGCTGCCGTCCCACAGGGCCCCAAGAGTTCTTCATTTGGTGATCCCCCTACAGGGTACAGTATGAGCGCACCATACCCAGCAGTTCTTTCTCTCAGATTGGCAGAGCCGTCTGTGAACACTTTCACTCAGTCTCTGGTATGTTGGAAAACATACCCATAGTCTTAAGGGCAGCCGCTTTCTGAAAATGTTCATTCAGGGCTGCACTTCATCACTGCTGCATCGGTCTAGGCCAAATGTATGGAAGGACGTGAGGTTTCGGCGTATGGTGGATTGACTTGGATTAGGTTCAGACATTCTCTATTGCGAGGCAGGTCAACTGTCCTCTCAAGATCCACCACCTGGTGCATGTATGAAGATCTATTTAGCCACCCAGTTGTTCTACATTTGAAATGACGGTTCCTTCTTGTTCAGCCGTCGGTACCTCTCTTCGGTACTTAGTTTAGCTTTTTCCCTCCTTATATCTAACGGTTCTTCATTGGCCAAGACCTCTACAGCAGCTGTGGGTGTGGTCCTGAATGCGTCACAGATGAATCTCATAGCCTGATTCTGGATTCGACCCAACTTTTCCAATGCGGTCTTGCTTCCAAAGGATTGGACTGGCATGCTGGCAATTACTCCCAACTTTTGCAACTTCAACAATAGACCGGATCTCCAGACCCAGCCATAGGCCTGTCGGAGGTAAAAGAATACAGCCACTGTTTGCAACTTTTTCTGAGGCCCATCTGTTAATGGACTGGAGAAGACGGAGCATTTGATCTCATGCTGCATTCCCTTGCGGAAGTCCGCTTGTATTGGACTGAGACTCCCGGTACTCTCCAGGTACTATTTAGAGTCTCTGGTTAACCATTCTCTTGGCTACCTTCCCTAAACACCATGTAGGGAGATTGGACAGTAGCCGGTCAGTTGATCAAATTTCTTCCCTTCTCTGGGAATAGTGAGGAGGGTAGCGCTAAGCCAAGCTCTGGGTAGGATTCCAGTTACCCAAGATCTTTAATGATTGACAATAGCTGTGTCCTAGCTTTCGGGCCAAGATTTGTTATCATTTTGTTGCTAATCTTGTCCGGACTTGGTGGCGTTGCACTTGTCGATGGCGGTTTGCATAGTGAAAGGTGCACGAGCAGCAGCCGTCTTCAACTTTCAGGCTTTGGTCCATGCTTTCTTCTGTTCACGAACCATCTCTGCCAACCTCTTATTCCAAAAAAGGGGCGGAACTTACGGTTTCCGTTGGTTCCAGGGATAATTTTCTTTGCCAGTGTGAGAATACCACTAAGGAAATTGCTGTATGCAGTATAGAGTATACCAGTAACACTGCAGATAGAATCTATATGGAGAACAAATTAATAAATAGATTTGGTACATTGTCTCCATATGGATTGAACCAAATCCACAATTTTACTTAGCTGCCATGTCTTTTTCCTGTTTGGTTTTTACAATTATGTTAAAATCACTTCCTTTCTACTACTCTTTATTTTGTTTTTGTCTGGTTTTAGCGCCCTCTCCTATATTTTTTCTGTTTTAGGTAGGATATGTATATTGATATAATGTAAATTTAATTTATACTTACTTAAATGTGTTTTGTTTGTTTGTACTGATGAAGGCATGTGCCGAAACGTTTAATTTTGTTTAGTGTATAATTATTATTAAAGCGTAACTTATATTGTTCTATTGACACAATTTGTTTGTGTCTTATTAATCTATTTTAAGCTTTATCGCAGTCCAACACTTTTTATAATTAGTTTGCTAATGTACAGAGTGGGTACCGCTTGTTTTAGTTCAATTAAGTCATGATTATAAACAAGCTTAAATTGAACGATGAAAAGACCGAGCTGATCCCCATTGCTACCGCTCAAAAGCTAAAATATATAACTAACACACAAACCCTTACTCTCTCAGGTATGCAGATAGAGTTTGCTCAAACAGTGCGAAACCTGGGTGTCTACTTAAACAGAACACTAACTATGGAAAATCACATTAACATGCTTTGCAAGGTGATTTTTCTAGAGCTGCGCAGAATTAATCATATCAGATCTTTCTTAACATTAGGCGCATTGATGAGGCTGATGTCTGCATTCGTGCATCGCGCATGGACTATTGCAATGCTCTTATGGTGGGTCTCCCAACTACGCTCCTGGATAAAATTAAAAAAGCACAGAATAATGCGGCTCGCATTGTTCTTTACAAATGCAAATTGGACCATGCTAAAACATTTCTGAGAGAGTTGCATTGGCTGCCGGTCCGCGCTCGCATAGAGTACAAAATTGCAACTCTGTTCTACCGCTGCTTGCATGACCTGGCACCATCCTATCTCAAAGCGCTGATAATAGCAAACTCTCGATACCACGTGTTCGCCTTGAGACTTCTGAGGGGTGTACTTTCGCATTTGCTGGCCCATCAATTTGGAACACTCTTCCTATCAGCTGAGTTAGAGGATGATTCATGATTGTGTGATTGTAAATGAGGCGTGCTTCCATTTTGTCATTCGGTTTCCACTTGCTGAGATTCATCCATTACTTGACATCACCTATGCAATCCTGCAAGGTTAAACCTTTTCTCTGCCCCCTCCTCGATACGACCAATCTTCCTTCCCATTTTGTCTGTACCCTGTATTTAAATTTAATCTCTCACCTACAAATTTAAATCAGAGAGCTGACTTAAAATAGATTGTTCATTGCATTAAAACAATCAATGTTATTATTCTATTCCTTTTTATATTTTTTTGGCAGGGAAGGGGTACAGTTTTGTTCAAATTCAAAGAGGGTTCTCTATTCATAGTAGCGATCAAAGGCTACTTTCTAAGTCCTCGAGGGCGACATACTTACGTTTGATTTATTTCTTGACCTTGTTTATTATCATAATAATGGTTTACCCTTACTCTCTGTACCGGTACCAGTTCATTAACTTAAATATTAGCTCTGTAAATGCTATACTGTTGCAGTTACGGAAGAGTTACTATTGATATGACATAACCAACTCTTCTAATGTTTTAATAAGGATTAATTATTATATATTATATTATAAAATACCTAAAATACATAATTAAAATAATTATCCGTACAGATACTAGATACTCAGGGATTTGAGCTACTACTACTAGAGTCTAATTATTGTATTTGTGTCAGTAAAAATAATTATTTATTTTGGTATTAATAGTATTATAGCTGATTTCAACACAAATTGCCTTTTTTCTCCATAGACTTCTTAAAATGAGTCGTCGACAGACACCAAGTGAATTTCTTAATCAAATTCGGGGACGTCCAGTTGTTGTGAAACTGAACTCTGGAGTTGATTACAGAGGTAATTTATAATAAAAAGTAAAAACTAATCTTTTTCATGCACAGACTTATAAGTGCTATTATTATGTACAGAGAAATTAAGGAGCATACATTTCCTGTATAGCTGCTTCATTCAGACATTGCTCAATCATAAATTTGAGTTTTTAAAATGATGCTAATGAAAATATTTCCTTAGTGCCACACTTACTCATAGGACCTGCAAATTATTACCCAGTATCATAGCCATAGTCTCAGGCTTAAGGGCATTTGCACAAATGGCTACTGGCTCACGATGAAGATAAATAGCCACACTTTCCATAAAGTGTGTGTACCGACCAGTACATACATTTTTTGGTGGTGCTAAATGGTTTACAAAATATTTTATACATTTTTTTATATGCTTATTAACTATTAATAATAATTATTTACAAATAATAATATGGATCACATTCAGAACCAGGAAATGAGACATGTTTGGTGCCATACCAATCAGCCAGTATATGGCCCAACAGCCAACACCAAATAAATTTGTTGGACCACCTGGGGAGAAAGCCTGTCATTCAACATGTATGGGTATTGGAAGCCTAAACTAGCAGTAATAGCAGGAACTTAAATTTCAGGGCCAGAGGAATACCATGCTAGTGGTTAATTTAAAATGTCAAGGACACCCTCAAAGTCCTCAACATGAATCTGCACCATGTGTGAGGCAGATCACTATCTGTACCTCCTCCTCCAAATCTAAAAATATAAATAATACATATGTAGTTCAACTTTAAATTATATTTTTTCAAATTTTAGGAGTGTTATCCTGCCTGGATGGCTACATGAATATTGCATTGGAACAAACTGAAGAGTATGTTAATGGCCAGCTGAAAAACAAATATGGTGATGCATTTATTCGTGGAAATAATGGTAAATGTTATATAAATATTTCTCATAGTCTTAGCCATTGTTTTTAAACTAAATGGACTTAATTGCCAATTTTGCATTTATAATTTAACAGTTTTAATTGTGGATGGTTTTATTTTAAATTTAAAGTGTTATTTAAATGAAAAGGAAATTTTTTTTTTTTAATCAAGTATTTAGTGTGACAACTTAATGACTGTCTTTTGATAAACTTAATATGATAATGGTTATTATAATCATACTTCCTCAGTACTTTACATTAGCACTCAGAAGAGAAGATAACCTTTGATAACATTCAGTGGAAAAACTTCATCCCATCCAAAACAATAACCTAAAGAAAAAGAGAATGTATGAGAAATGTTGTTTTTGCTCCTATACATTGTTCTATTTTTATACTCGAGAAATGATTAAAACTCAACTTTTCTTAAGCATAGTTTAGCCATGTTTCAAACACTTTGAGATTGCAAATAAAATTGTGTTTATTGAAATTGTGTAAATTTTTGTTTACTGTATTGTTGGCTTTCTTTGTAATGCTGAAAACAAAATATAACGTAAATCAGTGGAATTTTTTTTTATTAGAAACATTTTTTCTTGAAAATAGTTCAATTTAGCTTTCCAAGTACTGCTTCATCATTGTAGGTACTCCAAACCAATTTTTCAAACTAAACCAAATACATTTTTGAGTGTTTAAGTTTAAGATGAAAGAGCTAAGAATGTGGACAATAAATTTTTATTACCATTATTAAGAAAGTTGAGCTATTTTTTTTTTTTTAATTCTCTGCTTACCTTCTGTGAAATGACAAAAACCATATTCATGAGTAATTATCTTAAAATGTATGTCACTTGCACTCATTTCCTTTGCAAAACTTACACAGTACTATACAGAGAACAAACACATTTTTTTTCAAGAGAATAGGAAATCAAACTATTTTAATTTATTGTGGTAAAGATGGCATTTTGTAAAATTTTCAAATTTTTCCCAAGGAGGCAAGAAATCACAAAAATTACCAATTATTTAAAATTCACAAAAAATTATCTAATTTACTCATAAACATCATTCATATATCAATTTAAAAGAGAATCAAAGATCTATACAAGCATGGGCGCCCGCAGGAAACTNAAATCGATTAACTTTCCAGGTGGGGGGCGCAAAAATTTTTTAGTAATGTTTTAATATAGTTTTAATTTACTGTAGTGTATTTGCATGGTGAACGAACGGACAGGACTTCAGCTTAGTTACTTTCTCATTATTTTCTCTTTATTGCCCCTACCTGCGGGCGCCCATGTATACAAGTATGCAAACAGAACTACTGTAGACTAATAATAAAATCCAATGGGCAAAACACATAAAACAAGATAATAATATATATTTTACAACTCTTTGATTTAACTTTAACATTAGGAAACTCTCTGCGAAAAAAAATATATTCAATAGCAATTTAAAAAAAAAAAAAGTCAGACTGGGTGGATATTTAGATACTTAGGATCGGGCCGTTCGGGACCAATTCTTTCCATCAGGGCGAGGACTGACAGTAGATATAAAAGTTCTTTTGTTCCCCAATCTGTACGAATTTACCGACATGCTTCCTCTGAAGTCACACATCTGAATGAGATCTAATAAGTCCCCGATTTTGCTAAGAGAGTAAGAGAACTCACTTAATGGCTGTTTGAAATAATTTATTATAAATGTCTTGTGTTCAAATTGTTTTATTTTTTAGCTGAAAATGTATAATGCAATCAAAAAAAAAATTCCATTTATTTGGATCAATAAAATAATCTGATCTATTATTAGTCATTGTAGTACTATTACTAAGTATAATTAAAGCACTTTATTTAGGGGGGTGGAGTTTGTTGTTTTTTTAAATTCCTGCAGGTGAATTAGAAAACTTCATAAAAAAAAGAATTTGAAGTGAAAAATTATATTTTATTTCATTGTTGAGTTAGAGTGTTTCCAAAATGGAGCACCAGACAAGGCCAGTGATGCACTTGTTCGCTGTAGGCCTACCTTTCTGGTGTCCCATTGAACTAAGTTAAACAATACGTAAAACTGGTGAAAAAGTTAGCCAGTACTAATAGTACTAATACAAAATGGTATTGTCCATGCGGTATTCCTCGTGTTTATTATCTGTAGTTTACTCTGATATTGTTGAAAACAACAAATGTGCACAAGCGTATCGCATCTTTCATTGAATGGTAGGTCACAATTTTGAAATCGTGACCATTATGATTGTGTCCAAATTTGTATTGAAAGTAGAAAGTGTAATTTGACATGGTCTCCGTTGAGCTCCTACATAGCTTATTTTCAACATGATAATGGGTTTAACTAATATAATCACTCCACGCACCTGAGGATTACTCTTGTCGAATTAAGCAGTGCGTACCTAGTAGGGGTCGCAAAACCGGTCCCTTTTGCCAATACCGGTATTTTCGATATTGAAGTTTACGAATACCGGTATTTTCGACGTTTAGAGAATTTTTAGTCGAGATTAGAGGTGAGGATTTATCAATTGTCGAGAAGCGATTCTTCTGTATGGCCAAGTTTTTCACTTCATTCCGTTCGGCAGTACATCATACAGCAACAGTCACCAATGCACAAACATCAACCGGTTTGTTGTAAACAGAAGTTTATTTAACCACAATTTACAAACCAAGGTTGATACTTAATGTCGAAGCAACAATCGAATCCTTTCAGCACAACTCTTAATTTAATGGGAGTCGCTTAGTCGATTGATTTATCACGTGATGTGAGTAAAAACGAGTAAGACTTCCGGTAGGCTGTATACAACACACTAGTGCTTGACAACAGTAGCCCGATACACACTACATTTTGTCCAATGAAAATTAACAATAAAATAAACAAAGGGGAATGACTCCTGCATCAAAATTGAATAAAAACGCAAATGACGTCATGAGCACGCACGGAGCTCAACAACATCCTGCCGATAATAGTATTGATAGTTCCCATCGAATATCGCTCACAAATTTTTCTTGAAATAAATTTCTTCCATTAATTATAACTGACGTATATTTATTGTCACATTTATGTATTTCATTTAAAAAACGCTTGCATTCCAGAATATTACGAAAGGTAAAATTTTTAAGTAACATGACATTGGGGAAGCACTGATGAAGTATCTTTTGTTGTGTGTAGCAGCCTAGTGATGGCTTACTCACATCACGTGACCAAACAAGGAAGTGACTAAGCGACTCCCATTAACCGCAATTCCCAAACTATGTTTGATACTTAATTTCTCAGCACAACACCTAGCAGTATTCAATTCACAACAGTCAATGTAGCACATCCGCCATCCATCTTCTCTAACCACACTAAAACTAACGCGTCACTTCCCATTACACAATTACGTCACAACACTCTCACACAAACGATACGGCTGCACATAAAATCTCTAACTAACATCTTTTCCCTATCAAACATGACAACAACGCTCTACACATAACAACAGTGATTCTCATACCCTCGACAT